CCCAGCAGCCGCCGGCTGCATCTCCCTCACCTTGGCCCCCCAGGGTGGTGCGCCTGGCCACGGCACATGTCCCAGAGGGGTGGCTGAGCCAGGGAGTGACTGCAGGGCCTCGCAGTGCGGGCCCGGCCCCCCAGGGGCTGAAGCCCCCAGCGCCAGCGCGCCGCCCTGCCAGGGACCCTCGTGGCTTTGCCCTTGTCTTCTGGGAGGGGACGGCACTGGAGACTCCAGGCTGCAGCTGGAGTCGTGTGAATTCTCTGCAGAGCCCTGGGGGGGAGCGAAGGGAAAGGCCTTTGCTGTGCCAGGCAGAGCCATGGTGAGAGGGCCCGTTCAGCCGGGAGCTGCCCCCGGGCTGCTCTCCTGCTGGGCTCTTACCGGTGTCCGTCGCACCCGGGTTTGCCTCCTGCCCCGGATTGTTCCTCTGGGGGCCAGTCCCTGCAGGAGCAGGAGGCCTTGTTCCGCCAGGCCCGGGCCTGCGACTGGGAGAGGAGCCTCCCTCTTCGGGCGCAGACCAGAGCCAGTGCAGAGCTGCAGACCCTGGCCATGCTGGGGCCTCCGGAGAGCCGGGTGCGTTTAGTATGGACCCTGCAGCTGCGTGACAGGGGGTCCGTAGTGCTGGGCCGGGCTGCGCGGGGCAGGGGCTCTCCCACTGACGTGCTGGGTGCCCGTGGGCCAATCATGTCTCCCTGTGCCTCGGTTTCCCCCTTTGTGGAGAGAAGGACCATGAGTCTGACCCCCTCAGGGCTGAGGTGAGGTGAGCTACAGCCCAGAGCCTCAGGCCGTGACGAGACACGGGCCAAGGGGCAGAGTTGGCTGTTTGGGGGGGGCAGGCCTGGCTGGAGAAGAGGTGGGAAGGGAGTGTGGCCAGGGACTTGCTGCTCAACCCACCTGCCCACACCAGTGAGGACGGGCTGGGCCCATCAGGCTAAGGGGACTGTGCGCAACCCAGCAGTGGGCGGCTCCGCCAGGGACACGGAGGCCCCACGAATGGGGGGTGCAGGGGCTGATGCGGAGAGTGAGCGTTTGGTGCCGTTAAGGGGCTCGCTCGCTTGGGTGCCTCGTAGTGCACCGCCGTGCCCCTCCGTGCCCTGGGGCCTCCCCCGTAGTGCACCGCCGTGCCCCTCCGTGCCCTGGGGCCTCCCCCGTAGTGCACCGCCGTGCCCCTCCGTGCCCTGGGGCCTCCCCCGTAGTGCACCGCCGTGCCCCTCCGTGCCCTGGGGCCTCCCCCGTAGTGCACCGCCGTGCCCCTCCGTGCCCTGGGGCCTCCCCCGTAGTGCACCGCCGTGCCCCTCCGTGCCCTGGGGCCTCCCCCGTAGTGCACCGCCGTGCCCCTCCGTGCCCTGGGGCCTCCCCCGTAGTGCACCGCCGTGCCCCTCCGTGCCCTGGGGCCTCCCCCGTAGTGCACCGCCGTGCCCCTCCGTGCCCTGGGGCCTCCCCCGTAGTGCACCGCCGTGCCCCTCCG